AAAAACAGTGTCGGTTTGTTATTCGAGTATCGATTAGAGTGAGAAAAGGATCGCGTGTTCGGAATCTGTACCCGAAAACGTTAAAGCTAATTACTTAGTGGATAGATAAGACGAATATGATACGAGTAAAGGACAATAACCTCGACCTACCCTAACGCACTGATAAACCTCATGCTACGGGCCGTCGAATAAGTGCAGTTGAAAGCAAAAAGAATTGTTTTACGCTTCGCAGGGCCGATCCCTCGGGCCTCGATGACCTATATACGCTCCCCCCGTACTTAGGGCTTACAGTGAGTGCCTGTGCCTGGACCTGACCTGCCTCAACGTTGACGTAGTTGCGGATTCGCAAACTAAAATAAACGGGACGCCATTCAGCTGCTTTGCCCTACACTCGGTCGTGTCACTTCCGCATTTCGAACTCACTTTTATTAAAATAATGAATGTTGATCAACTTTATCTTTATGTTTTTTTTATGATTAGTACCTACTTCAGATTCTGTTTTGCTGTTTGTCTTTCTTTAAACACATAAATCTATTATTTAGGTAAATCTCTATTTTCTAGCATCAAGTAACGATAATTTAATAACATATAACATGCTTACATATTAAATTACATTAAATACCAAAAGAAACATTAAATGCAGATATTCGATGGATAATAATACTAAATTTGAAACACATTGCCCGCCGTCTTGTCATTCACTATTGATTAGCAGTATGCGTTGCATCGTCACATTGTTCAAGGGATCGATTCCTGCGCGTCCCTGTCGCCTCCGCTTCTATTTTTACCGCTTCATTGCCTACTCCCCTCGTTGCTTGTTTCCTGCCTTTTATTAAACTATCTGTATGTTAATTAAGAACGGCCTCGCCGCTATGGCTTATGTTTACTTTACTATTAGCTTCCTCGAACGAAATCCTCATTCGCACGTGTTGACGGCATTAAACATGAAGAGCATGTTCATTACTGGTTCCGACTCTGGCGAAGTGAGTACAGGATCTCTTTAATTACTAGACTTTTTTCATTTCAATGTGAACATTAAAAATATTTCTTAGCTCGTTAAGTAAACCTCCTCCTCCTCGAGTGCGTCTTGTTCAATTATAAGTTTGAAATGTATTTGCGTCTCTTTCTAGTCGGGCATCTGGTGTACATAAACCTGTGTGTGTTTACATTATGTCTATAGGTGGTGTATGTGTGCGTGTGTCTAGGGGCGCGTGCATGTGTTGTATCGTGGCGTTGTGTCTACAGCTGTTGTGGGTTTGTAGGGCTAAGCCGCTATCGACTTCTCTATATTTATGCTTCCTCATGACCTACGCCCCGACGTGGACTCTTCAATGTATTCATAAATTACGCCTCGGCTTCAGTCTATTTAAAATTCTAATCTTACTCTCTACAGGAAATCTTACAAATTCAATCCAACAAAACTTGAAAATATTATTTAAATGGCTGTTATTTTATTTTACATAAATTGCTCCACTGAATATTTATTGGAATTATAATGACTAGTCGGTCGCTCATGTCGTGTGATTATTATCGCCATCTCCTAAGAGGAAAATAATGATGTCATTATCCACGTCTCTTTTGTCACGGATCGTGTGTAGCGGAATCGCTTCTGTATTAACCCGTCTTGTGCACTTGTCTTCTTCCCAACAAACAGCTGGCCGGAGGTCGTTGACTCGGGCTAGTGCAAATTGTGAACTTATACATCGGATCGAGCAAAAAATCTTGGCTTTGTTGGATCCTTATGCAGGCAGAGAATTCTCGGAATGTAACCGTCGCAAGGCGCGTGCAGTTTTGGGACTTTCCTTAATTGGATTCCTGAGTGGCAATTCAGCTTAACTTTCCTCTTCAATTAATCTGATACTGAAATGTCAATTCTGTAACGCAATTAAAATGAACCATTTTAAAAACAGCTGCGATCCTCGTGTTTCGATGTATACGTGCACATGTTGCTGCTAATTCATAAACGGAAACCATTGTTTTTGATAAAATCAAGATATGCGTTATCAAGTAACGTTAAATTTCGAGGTCTCGATGCGCTTACGCCGAAACATTGTCATTCCAATGACGTCACTGGTCTATGGGGTCGTTGATCGGACCCCTACCTGCACTTTTTATTGCATCCCCAATGACGTCAGCGTACAAAAAAACAGGGATCTTTTCATTTGGTTTAAATTTGTTGGCCTCATTGTACCGCTTTAGTCTCATAATAAGTCTCAAATATACATCGAGTGCATCGGGTAGAAATCTAATACTGATTTCCTTTTTATTTTAACTAAATGGATAGTACTAACAAATAATAAATTGAAATAGTCGCAGTTTCACAGGAGTATTGTTCGAAATTCAACGATTGTGTAAGAATTGAACAATAAGTTTTTTGGCACACCGTTCTACAGCCCTACTGATTGGCGACCGGGTTCCCGAAGGTTGATGATCCCGTACAATTGGGACAACCGAAATGTGTCAAGTTTAACCCAGGTCGTTCACCTCTTACATCTTTATCAATTCTCGGCCGGTAACTCTAATTTTAATTTTACCTACATACACGGTTTTACTCATTATAATTAGATTGTTTTTATAAGTAATTATTTAATCGGTTTAGTTTAGAATAGAATTAAATACTATTTGTTTTATTGTTCATTCGGTAGTTTAAGGTGTATTCTATATAAACTGAATAAAAATCAAATTTATCAAAGGTTTTCAAGTTCGCGTTATAATGATAAAATGCCTCATGTACCTAATGTAGATGAGGAAAATATGCAACTTGTCGATAACTTACTTCAATATTTTAGTGCATAAGTGTCCGGTCTGAAAACTTCTCACCCTCTTCGTCTCAGTAGGTAAACAAAAAAGGGAACGAAACTCTCTGTTATCAATACAATGCTGAATGAATTGACAGGATCTGTACTGAGCCGATGAACAATACGATTGTACACGACGTAAAGTAAAAATTATTATAAGTAAAAGGAAGAACCTAGAACAATATCATGTAATAATTGTAAAGCAAGAGAAAGTGAGCACACGTCGCTGCACAGAATTCATTAAAATGGTTTAATTACTCTTATTACATACTATTATACTTTTATCTTATGATAACTTAATGTGCGAGCGGAGAATAGATTCATCAGAGTTATTGCGATTCGCGAGTTTTTTTCAACAGGTCCGTGGCGCTGGATCACTTAAAAGAGTCACTTATTATTCACTAGCTGTTGCCTTCGAGTAGAAAAGAAATAATTGTAATGGTGTCTACGTGAGAAATAAATAATTCATGGATATCTTTTGAAAAATATCATGGTCGGTCGAGACTCGGCGCGGGCGCATTATACTTTTAAATTATCTTCAGCAGATTGTTGTCGACTCAATACCTTTATCGGTTTTAAGGAAAATGGGGCTTTTCAGTATATTGCTAGACGGTTATAGCTTTATAAAATACGTGTGGAGAACGCAGGTATATCATGTATTTTCATAATTTTTCACAAGTAATATTAAATCCATATTACGTAATCATATCTATTTGAAATAATAATTATTTTTAATATATTCTTAATAAAAACAGTATTGTCTGATTAAATGTTCAACTATTCTAAGTGTCAGTGAATACAATACAGTAAATCGATGTAAAGATACGCGTTACCATGACAACACTTCAATGATTGTATAATAGGAGTCGAAGGGAATGTTCCCACTTCCCTACATATGTTATCCAAAATACACGCTGGAAATCCCCGGCGCAACTTTTTTATTAATAAACCCTACATTATTCACGGTTCAAAGATATCCTATTTGATAACATTTACAACTACTTGACACTGAGAACTTTGTAACTTCTCCGAATTCATATTTATTAATTTTTTAAAGATGAGCTGTCTATATTGAGTCAAAAAATATAGATTTCATTAATATTGATTAAATTTATTTTTACTTTTAAGGAAAATTCGTTTTCTTCAATATTGGGGGTTGGTTAATTATTTGCTGCATGCTGGGAAATATAAGTTAAGGATTAAATTCAAGTTTAATTTACTCAATGACTTTTCGAAGAACACTCAAATGAAAGTAATATAACGTACTAACTTCGTAAAATCATGAACTATTACACTTGTTCCCTACTAAGCGTTCCATCTATTTGGATCTTTCGTACTGTAAGTTTTTTCTTGAGTAATAAATAAAGTAGCAATATCATTATATTTACTCTTACAACTTACCGGTAAGATTTCAAGCATCAAAACTATACATTTTTGGTATTATTATAATTAGCAGAATAGAGACATAGTAACGCATCGTAAATAAATATGGTAACTTATTTTAAAATCATTTTCTTACAATTAAAAGAAAGTATCCCTTATTTTCATTGCAGAAAATTTTCAACGGGAATACCAATGTTGTAATGAGAAACAAAGCTCTTAAAACCTCCGCTCAAAGGTAAAAAACGAGATCTAAACATTCTTTGTGAAAGCTTTATGTTGCACGCCTTGCGAGTTGAAAAGAATGAAGAATAGGTCTTACAAAAAACTAATCCAAAATGCGACGCGGTCTGCGAGAGGACAACAAAACAAACTTATGCAACATCCTGCTATGTAATCTTACAACAGAGGGTTAGATATAAAACTTTTGAACCGAGCCTCGTTTCGTCTGCTGTGGCCTTGATTTTTTCCGAATCGACGACTTGACCTCGAGCAGGCAGGTGATTAGGTTACATAAACTAAGTCCTTCCCCACTTCCTGCTGGCGCGCTTTGCAGTTGTCGGAGGTTTCTAAGAAAAAGCTGAATTCGCAGCCCGCCCCTCCTTTTTGTTCGTATTGCTTTTCCAGTTTCGCCTCATAAGGGTTCACGTACATGGCAGGTTTGTATTTTCCACATCTCTCGTAATGTATTAACTCGGTATTTCAAATAACTATAACACCAACACCTTCGTGACGGCAATAACATCTACAAATATTTTTTTTATATACCTAGTTAAGATCAATACGTATACGACATAATTAATGCATTAAATATTCAATGCTATGAGACGGACCAGGAAACAATTTCAGACACTGGCTTTAATCGATTTATTTCCAGACGAAACAGTATTTAAAGATAATTTAAAAAGTAAAAGAAATAGTAAGTTAATGGGCTCGCTGCCTTACGGCTGCGGTGGAGACCAACACCAAACTGGTTTGACTGCACGCGATCTGGCTCGAACGAAGGAACATGCAACGAACAAAAAGAAACCTAAATGCAGACCAGCTTCAGCTCTAGGAAACGCTGACCTTGGACGCAACGAGCATGGCACCTGGTGTTTTTGTGCCCTCCGCAACTTGCACAGCTATATTTGTTACAAATTCGCTCACTATTTGATTTACGTTTCGTTCTATGTTCGAGCGTATCCTGCCTTTTGTTAACTTTATTAGGTCTGGCTTTGTTTATGTAGAGAATATGTGAAAGACATTGAGGACAGACGTGTAAATATGTCAATGGTGTAGACAGCGAAGCGCTTTCAAAGCGGGTATGTCGGCCGTAGTTGGTTGCGTAACCGGTGTCGTGAAGAAAGTGAATGCAGCATTTCGAGGTCGCGTAGAAAGTAGCCACCGCGCTCTAGCTCTGCACTGGCGATGGTGTCTTTTCCCCGACGTGTTTCATACTTACTACTACGATGAGCGCCATTAACATTTTTAATAACTCAAAACTCTTTTTCACAACTTAAATAAATATGTACATGTCACGCGACGATCCATTCAGCTTTAGAAGTTGTCTGAAATTCCAAGAACACTACAAATTCGGAACATATTTTAGAATGCCACTAAGCTATTAATATATTGCATAATAAAATATTCAACACACAAACTTCAGACGTAATAAAGAACTTTTGGAGTTTCGCACAAAAAGTTACACGTGCCAGTCGACTCAATCGCTCAGGGCTATTGAAATTTTAGCCATGGTCGCTCGAACATGGTCGATAGGGCATCAATTCATTCTGGATCTGACAGATTCGAATTAGTTTTATTTTGGACTTTATACATCTTGCCTACTTCCTTTATTAAATCGGGTAAAAACAATTTCTAGAATAACAAACGTACCATCTTTGAACTGATACATTTTACATTGTTGAGTTCTTCGCTGACTGCAATGTTATGTAAATTGTAGCGCATGTCTTAGCAGAAATACAGGGTTCAAGTATTCACATTCATGCCAGCATTTGCATGAGAATAGATGCATATAGCTAACGGCTGTAATCTCTTAAAATTGTGACCGATTTAGAACTTTGCCTAGCACCAATGGTCGTGGTTGAATTTACATTTTAAGTGAGCATTCCTTTGAAATTACTTCCATATTCGTTAATGCTCTCAAGTACTAGACTAGAGTCAGGAAGGCATCGTTATCTGTCAAGTCCCACATCAAGTGTCCCGCTTATCTCCCCACATGTTTGATCAGGTGCCTGTACAGAGCCGACTAATACAAACCTCATGTACAATAGTCAAGGCCTCGTTTATTTTGACCATGAAAACGCGATCCTGTTACGATGATATCAAGTTATATAATATGGCTTCACTTTTTGCCTATCAAATAACACCCTTTCTACTAGACTTAACTAGTTAAAAAGTTACGATTTTGGTGGATAGAATTCCTTCACAGTTTTCGATTTAGTTAGCCATTCAACCGATTCAATACTTCAATAACATTACAGGGTGAACCGATACTAAATCGTAAAGATCTATTTGTTATAGAAATATTGCACAAAACAATCCAACTCTAAATTGGCAATATTTATCTGCGAGCGGAAACACCCTTTACCTTATTGTAACAAAAGGAAATTACGGATGGACTAAAGGTGGATGTCGATCCACCTTGAACGAAATAACACATGACGTAACTCAACAAGGATTTGATCTTGACTTGACATTCGCCCGCTTTCCACACAAAACTTACACCATTTGCATAAACGGGTTTTGACGCAGTTACTTTAGCTTAGATTTAAAAGCCTATACATTAAAACTACATTATACAATCATGCCAAACAGATCCATAGACAATAACAACTCTGCTTTATTTATTAGTAATTAATCTCACGCATGCCTACTGTTCTTGGTTTAGCAAATCCTATTCTAATAAGATGTATGATCTAAAATGGGTACTTAATGTTTCTCAAGTTGTAAGAACCAGAAACATTAATGTAACGAGCCCATTAAGCTAGGCTAAATGTATGTAGGTTTAGGTATAATTAAATCAATTGCTCAACCACGTTTTTCTTACATTAGTCACTTATAATTGCGAAATGTTACCTGTTTTTATTGGACATAAATAATTTAAACTTTCATGGAATTGGAATTCAAAGCAAGAAACGACTAAAGCATTAAAGTATTTTAGAATTGTACTTTGCATTCAGTGATTAACTGAAACATTTCATATACCGTACGTGTTTCTTTGAGAAAATAAAGTTTATTAAAAGGGTATTATGAGTAACGGTTATTTTGTAAAACGATACCGTTCCTTTTATCTTCAATTTACTCATTAATAACGTTCAATAATATTTTATGGGCAGTTCTCTTCGAGATGCGAAAGTAATTTAATTCATAAATAAGCTTGCTACGTTGAACCATTACACATTTTTGAATTGACCTAAGAGCTACTCGGCGATCGTTGGAATGAACGTTATCCTTATATGGAAATAATAAGGCTTTCTATGAAAGGTATTGTTTAGAAGTCATTGAATTGCATAGAAATAAAAAGTCTATTATCACGGATCCTTGGTTTTAGCTCGCACTAATTATGCTCCCCGCTTTACAAAAACTATAACGTGTTCTTTTCCCATGACTTGAATTATGTGTGACTATTTATTGTTCTACGGCGGACCGAATAATGGAAATGCTAGAAAAATAGACGATTTCACAGCGTTTTGTTGTTAAAAGTCCTAATCCGAAAATTTTACTAACATCTACGTTTTTATCTAAAACAAAGGTTTAAAGCAGTAAATTCATAACATACGAGACAGCATTTTGGCAAACTAATAAAATATATTTTGCCATCGAAGGCACTAAATGACGCCATGCAACGTGATATGTTTTTCAAATGCAAATTTTAGGGACCAAATGTAGTTTAGCCAGATATTTATCAAACGGGCCATAAACTTTGATACATAAATGTTCCGTACGAGCACAACGATTTAATCTCGATTTAACAACTTCAGGTAGAACAATGTTACTCGTTTCTCGCTTGGAGTTCTTTAAACCAAAGCAATAGTACCTAGTTATAAATGTCTATTAGCAGATCGGCGACGGTTGATTTCCCGTTGCGTTCGGCCTTGAAATACACGGACAGACCTTGAGCCGAGAATATTCTCAACATGGCCGAACGACGAACGCGGCTAGGGGCACAGAACCGACGCAAACGTTCACTAAACTTAGATTACGTCACACTATTTTGGCCGGTTTTCAACTATACCTTTAACATTTCAAGTCGTCATTACTAACAATATCTAATAATTGCAATGGGACGCATCTAAGAGGCACATGGAATTGGTACAAACTTTTCTTTTCATAGCTAGGAACCACGATCGACATTTTCTTCGAGCGAGTTTGAAGAGAATATACTTAACAAAAGAATATATAATATTACGACAGAGTCTAATATCTTATATATCACAGATTGAAATTTGTCTGCTAAAAACGACTATTGATGAGATCACGGCCATAGATTTCGTATATAAATCACCGACGTCTAGTCGCGTTTTAAGGAAATAATTATTTTTAAATATCCATTAAACTATTTGAACGACCCACGTATACGTAAGGAATTATATGTGTTATCAGTATTTGCTCCGTCAATGTCACCGAGTTGTTTAGAGGGCAACGGACGCGATATCTGTAAACAACACTGATTCGTACCAACACACATTTTTATCTTGAATTAGGTTTAGTTGGTATTTTTAGAGTGCGCCCGAAAATTTCATTACAAGGTTAATTGCTATGTTGAGTTGACATAATATATGTAAAAAAACTAACACCAACAGGATGTTATTCTTATAAAGAGTTCATCATACAATCAAGAATAACCGAATTTTAAAGTAATATCTTAATCTGACCCCATTCAAAATTCGTGTCATTGAAAAAATAGTCCTTTCAGATAAAGATATGCAAACAAAATATTTTTTAATAGATAAGAATTATTTGTGGCACAAAATCATATAAATAATATATTTATGAAGTTTACTATTTCTTTTAGTGATAATACTCTCATAGGGCCTTGTCGGTTCCCTTTTACATGACCCTAATAAGAGAGAACTGATACAATATTTTTAAAATAAAAAATAAATCAGTGGCGCTACCACCTTTTTAGGTCTGGGCTTCAGATTTCTGTATATGATTCTTGATCATTTGTCAATCTAATAGGCAAGTAGGTGATCGGTCTCCTGTGCCTGACACACATCGATTTTTTGGGTCTAATCCAAGCCGGTTTCACGATGTTTTCCTCACCGTTCGAGCAAATGTAAAATGCGCACATAAAAAGAAAGTCCATTAATAGTGTACAGCCGGAGATCGAACTTACGACCTCAGGGATGAGAGTCGCACGCTGAAGCCACTAGGCCAACACTGCTGCATTTTAATGTATGAAGCCATATTAAAACTTCTGCTCCTATTTATCGCTTATATTAAATATATTATGCATTATATCAAGAGCAACAAAATCGTATCGAACAATAATCGAAGGTTTTATCGCAGACGGGTGGACAATGCGACTGAGCATAAAACACAAAAAGCATCTTGACATCAACTTGCAAGTGCGTTTACGATTGTGAAATAATTAGACCTCATATTTGGAGCTTAAAGTGGGCTACCACGTGCCGCAGTAGAGCGAGACGGTCCATGCTCTGTGTCATGACAGCATAAGCATGACGTGCACTTGCGCAACCTGCGTTTCTCTAGAATCAAACCACGTTTTTAAATAGTGTTTTGCAAAGCTTTCGAATAAAATTCTTCTTTACTGATTTAAACATTGTCTTCGTCAACGTAATATAAATATAATCACAATCACACGATGAACCACTTGTTATAAACAAGCTATTCCTATACAATCTCTAAATTTATTGTACTAATCTTTTACTATGTTATGTATATGTTAGTTACTTTATTTTTAGCCTAATAATTCAAATCGCTTCCGTACGTAATTTAGTGGGAACGTTCTAATCGCTGATAACCTTATACAATTTGAGATTTTTCTGTTCCGCTGTGAAGTCATACAACACTATACAAACTATAAAACAGAGTTTGTCTGCTCAGGGGATTTCGAGACGATTTTGAAACTTCATTAGTGGCTCAAACTGAAAGATATTGTCCATGAAAAGGCAAATAAGAATGTTTAATGTTAAAGGTGTGTTTTAATTAGTGTTGTCTTTCATTATCTGCAT